CCCCCCCCCCCGACTGAGTTGTGACAACCCAAACAATTCCAGGCAGTACCAGAGACCCCTGGGATAAGGGGGTAAAATCCTGTCCCCCCCCCAGATTAAGAATTTCTATTCTAAAAGCAGTTTCTACCTTTTGCACAAGGTTGGCATGGTTTCCCCAAATGGAAGAGAGAGCCAAGAGTCACTCCCAGGTGTGTGAGTGTGCACCTGGGCTATGAGCATGCACCTGATTATGAGTGTGCACCTGGCCTGTGAGTGTGCACCCAGGCTGTGAGCGTGCACCTGGGTTGTGAATCATGCACCTGATTGTGAGTGTGCACCTGGGCTGTGAGCATGCACATGGGCTGTGAGCCGTGCACTGGGCTGTGAGCGTGTACCTGGGCTGTGAGCGTGCACCTGGGCTGTGAGCGTGTACCTGGGCTGTGAGCGTGCACCTGGGCTGTGAGCGTGTACCTGGGCTGTGAGCGTGCACCTGGGCTGTGAGCGTGTACCTGGGCTGTGAGCGTGCACCTGGGCTGTGAGCGTGTACCTGGGCTGTGAGCCATGCACCTGGGCTGTGAGCCGTGCTGTGAGCATTCCTCCTGTCCTCAGCCCCAGCACTGCAGCAGGAGAGCCCGTTGTAGGGCCCGAGTGAGGCTCTCCTGCTGTTGCAGGGCCCACCCCTCACATTAGTACCGTGTCTTGTTTTACTTTGCTGGTGGAACCTCAAAAGATGGGTCTTCAGTAGCACACACACCCTGCTCAAGCTGGGGGAACGGGTTTGCAGGCTCAGCTGGGGCACACCTGGGAAGTTCCTGCACCGGGTCCTCAGGGTGTCCCCCACGGGCGACATGCCCAGGACGATGTGCAGGTTGTTAGCACTTTTGTTCACGAAGAACTGCCACACAGACTCCTTGGCTGGCCCCATGCCATGCTTCAGGGCTTCCTGTCCAATCTGACTGAGAATAGACTCCTTCTCCTCTTCGGGGAAAAGCGCAGGCACGATTCCTGGAAAACAGAGGCCCGCGGTGGTTTCCGTGGTCTCGGGGCTATCACAGTCGGGAAGCTGGCTAGAAGTCATGGAGACAGCAGTAGATTCGGGTCTGACGGGCAGGACTTGGGTCCTGGCTCTGAGACCCAACTCACTCACCTGCCGTGAGCCCCAGTCTCTGGGTCTGTGATCTGGGGAGAAGGAATGCCTGCCGTGTCCCTGGGAGGGTCACCGTGAGCTCCACAGTGACATGGGCCTCCCTGCAATTCTTAGCCAGGAGTGGTTTGCCTCCAAGAGACACCTGACGGTGTCTGGTGACATGCTCGGTTGTCACAACTGGGAGGAGAGGTTGCTACTTGCATGCCTGGTCGAGGCCAGGTTGTGAGAACTTTTATCCTACAAGCCCGGGACAGCACCCCGGCAGAGAGCGAGCCAGCGCCTGGCAATGAGAATCCTTGCCACCAGGAGGAGGGCTTACGTGGAGGCCATCACGTCCCTCATTCGGACCCTCTCACAGGAGGCCCAGCTGAGGCCTCTCTGTCTGCAAATACACCCGAGCCCTGCACTGAGGTTGACAGGCACGGAGAGGGTCGGGACAGCGTGCATGTCTGTGGCACGTGTGGGGAGAGTCCAGGGCCACGGCAAAGGGCACGTGCCTCATGCCACGTGAGCAGGACGGTGGGAGCCCCGGAACCCCCAGGCGGGCCTTTCTCGGAGGAGGAAGGCCCTATGCAGCACGGGCCGGAAGCTGGAGGTTAGGTGGGAGCCCGGCAGTCAGCTCTGCCTCCAAACCTCCTCTCCGTTCTCTCACGGGACAGCTCTCTGTGGCTTTAGGACACACCTAAATCCAGACGGCATCTCAAGGGCCTTAAGTTAACTGCATCTCGATAAGGTCCCACTCTCAGGCTCCGGGGTTACAACCTGGGTGTGTCTCAGAGAGGACACCACTCAGCCTGGTCACTATGCCTGTGCCTCAGTTTCCCCAGCGGTGAACCGAGGATAAGAGCACCTTCATCACCAGGTTTCCATGGGGGCTAAGCAATGCATGCTAAGTATTTACAGTGGTCCTTGGCCCAGAGCAGATGGTGACTCCACTGTGACCACGACAGCTCTTAGGAGGGGAAGGCCACAAGGCGATCAGACCTACACCACAGCTGCTGGGGGTGGGGACAGGGCGTCCCTGCCAGGGCTCCACGCCACTCTGCAGGTGGCCAATGCTGATGGTGTGGGCCTGTGCCTCAGCCTGCACCTCCCTCAGAGCCGGGCGGCCTGTGCCTCCCCGGAGCCGCCCACCTGAGGTCAGCATGTTGTTGATGAGCTCCAGGAAGCCCTCCTCGGCCACGTGCGCGTCCGTGAACAGGAAGATCATCGTTTTGTTCTCGATCCCCAGCTTCAGGTAGAGGCTCTTCAGGTCGTCCCGGAAGTTGTTCTCAGAGTAGCCTCGGCTCAGCAGGATCTCGAACACCTGCCACACAGAGCCCTGAGTCCGGAGGCCACCTCCCTCCTCCCTCCCCGACCCACACACGCCAGTGCGGCAGCCATGCCAGGTGACCTGAGGCCGTCCTCAGCAACACTGCGAGTGCGAGGCGCAGACCTCTCTCGCACCCCCTTTGTCAAACAAGGCACGACAGCGTTCTGCGTGTCACGAGCGTGTGGGTGGGTGGGAGTGCAGACAGCATGCGCATGTGAGTGTAGAAGAAAGAAGGTGCGGGAAGGACCCTCCCGTCATGAGGAGCCACAGAGACGGAGGGAGGTAAGGTGGGAGGCTGGACGGAAAGGGGACAGGCTGAGCGGGAGAGGAAAGAAGCACAGAACGCACCCCAGAGGGAGCACCACCACCTGCTGGAGCAAGTCCAAGTGGGCAAACGTGGGAAGAAAAGAAGCTCTTAAGTCCTTAAGTTAGGAAATCCTGTCTATACACAACGTAGTCGTAAATGCGCCCAAGACACCGAGCTCGAGGCACGCCTGCCCGCGGAGCGTCCATGCTGTCTCGAGGCAGACAGAGCTTTCCCGGGGACCTCGATCTCAGCTGCGATCTCAGAAGCAAGTCAGGTCTGCAGGAACGGCGAGGCTGTGGCTCCCACCCACCTCAGCCCTGCGCACTCACACATAGCCATGCACACCTGTTTTCACTCTGTGCACTTTCACACTCGACCTCTGAATTCGACGTAGTCTCCGTTCTAAATACACAAGCTGATGCTTCTTAGGAACTGCAGTTTTGATAATTATCCAGCCCAACCAAGAAATCCAGCCTGACACCCAGAGAGCCACCAGGCTGTGGTCCGCTCCGGTGTGTCCCAGCGTCCACGTGAACTGTCAGCTGCAAGCCCTGGCACAAGCAGCCACCTTCTGGGAGCAGGCAGACCCACCTCACAGTCGGCCGTGAAGGCGGCCAGCCTCGCCAGAGACTGCTTCCCGGAGCCCCCGACGCCGACCAGCAGGGCGTGGCCACGGTCCATCCGAATGATGCGGTGCACGCGGGTCAAATGCTCCAGGGCATCGTCAAAGAGAACCAAGTTCATTCTGGCATAGCTTTCATTATACTCCTCAAGAATTTCCTGAATTACAAAAAAAAAAAAGTATATACGCACACACACCCCTACATATGGGGCCAGTAGGTGGCGCTGGACTCCCACACAGTTGACTGCAGTTGGACCAGGACCTGGTCATTCCTTTTCTTACCGTTCCTCTCTTTCTCTCTCTGACTGTCTATCTCTGGTGAGTGCACAGGTCCTATGGCAAATTTTAAAATAACAGTAATGCTAAGTAAAATCAATTTTTTTAAATTAAGGAATCACTGAATTTTTAAAGATTTTAAATAACCAATTTTTTTTTTCACATGAGTTTTGCCAGAGAAAGACAGAGGGGGGAAGGAGAGGGAGAATGAGAGAGCAAGCCACAATGTCTGGGACTTGAACCAGAGCTGGCCACGTGAGAATCCCAGCGCCTTCGCTACCATGCACCTGCTGGCCCCAGGAACCACTGAATTTAACAGACGGACTTCTCCTTTTGTTCAGGACAGATTAGAAACAGAGAGACTGGGCCCAACAGGTGCATAATGGCTACACTGCTGGACTTCCACAGCGACTGCAGTTCGATTCCCGTACCTGGAGGCTTGAAACACGCCAGGTGTGTGTGTGCATGCCCAAGCGTCCTCAGCAACACTGCGAGTGCGAGGCGCAGACCTCTCTCGCACCCCCTTTGTCAAACAAGGCACGACAGCGTTCTGCGTGTCACGAGCGTGTGGGTGGGTGGGAGTGCAGACAGCATGCGCATGTGAGTGTAGAAGAAAGAAGGTGCGGGAAGGACCCTCCCGTCATGAGGAGCCACAGAGACGGAGGGAGGTAAGGTGGGAGGCTGGACGGAAAGGGGACAGGCTGAGCGGGAGAGGAAAGAAGCACAGAACGCACCCCAGAGGGAGCACCACCACCTGCTGGAGCAAGTCCAAGTGGGCAAACGTGGGAAGAAAAGAAGCTCTTAAGTCCTTAAGTTAGGAAATCCTGTCTATACACAACGTAGTCGTAAATGCGCCCAAGACACCGAGCTCGAGGCACGCCTGCCCGCGGAGCGTCCATGCTGTCTCGAGGCAGACAGAGCTTTCCCGGGGACCTCGATCTCAGCTGCGATCTCAGAAGCAAGTCAGGTCTGCAGGAACGGCGAGGCTGTGGCTCCCACCCACCTCAGCCCTGCGCACTCACACATAGCCATGCACACCTGTTTTCACTCTGTGCACTTTCACACTCGACCTCTGAATTCGACGTAGTCTCCGTTCTAAATACACAAGCTGATGCTTCTTAGGAACTGCAGTTTTGATAATTATCCAGCCCAACCAAGAAATCCAGCCTGACACCCAGAGAGCCACCAGGCTGTGGTCCGCTCCGGTGTGTCCCAGCGTCCACGTGAACTGTCAGCTGCAAGCCCTGGCACAAGCAGCCACCTTCTGGGAGCAGGCAGACCCACCTCACAGTCGGCCGTGAAGGCGGCCAGCCTCGCCAGAGGCTGCCTCCCCGAGGGCGTGGCCACGGTCCATCCGAATGATGCGGTGCACGCGGGTCAAATGCTCCAGGGCATCGTCAAAGAGAACCAAGTTCATTCTGGCATAGCTTTCATTATACTCCTCAAGAATTTCCTGAATTACAAAAAAAAAAAAGTATATACGCACACACACCCCTACATATGGGGCCAGTAGGTGGCGCTGGACTCCCACACAGTTGACTGCAGTTGGACCAGGACCTGGTCATTCCTTTTCTTACCGTTCCTCTCTTTCTCTCTCTGACTGTCTATCTCTGGTGAGTGCACAGGTCCTATGGCAAATTTTAAAATAACAGTAATGCTAAGTAAAATCAATTTTTTTAAATTAAGGAATCACTGAATTTTTAAAGATTTTAAATAACCAATTTTTTTTTTCACATGAGTTTTGCCAGAGAAAGACAGAGGGGGGAAGGAGAGGGAGAATGAGAGAGCAAGCCACAATGTCTGGGACTTGAACCAGAGCTGGCCACGTGAGAATCCCAGCGCCTTCGCTACCATGCACCTGCTGGCCCCAGGAACCACTGAATTTAACAGACGGACTTCTCCTTTTGTTCAGGACAGATTAGAAACAGAGAGACTGGGCCCAACAGGTGCATAATGGCTACACTGCTGGACTTCCACAGCGACTGCAGTTCGATTCCCGTACCTGGAGGCTTGAAACACGCCAGGTGTGTGTGTGCATGCCCAAGATCCCAAGAGGAGAATGAAGAAGGGACTGCAGCATGGCCATCCTCCTGGGGGATAATTTCTCACTTTCTCTCTGTCTCTCTGGTGAGTGCCCATGCCCTATAGCAAAAAGTCTCTTTTAAAAAAAAAAAAGAAAAAAGAGCAGAGAGGTTTTTTCTGAATGCCCAATAGTTGAAATGATTAAATCGTATGAGTTTATGGACTGATCTGACTTTCACAGTCAAGTTCCTGGCCCACTCAGTTAAGGTGGCTGGTCCCACATGGCCGACCAGTTCGAGTCCTCGGGTCGGGTGCCTGTGTGTATGTTGCCAAAATCCCCAAAGGAAAAGGAGAAATGGAGCAGAGGGGCTGACCACGGAGGTGCGAGCCGGGGGGAAGGTGAGGCGCACACGCATACACACACACACACACACACACACAGCAGGCCCAACCCCCAGTGCACAGGTCCCCGAGCAAATTGTTTTTAAGGGATTTCCAGCTGCTGGTTTTAGATTGGCCAGCAGGGAGCCAGAAGCCTATGAGGCTCTCTCATTAATTTAAGTAAAACCGGATGTGGGGTGGGGGTCGGATGAGTGGTTCCCAAGCCTGGATAAGCATCGGAGTCCCAGGCCTGATGGGCTTGATGGCGCGCATCATGGCGTGAGGGGCGTGTGGGGTCTGTGTCCTAGTCCTAACCCCAGGCCTGGGTACCCAGATGTGGGCACCCCTGGGTCAGACACAAGCCCACGTACCACGCCGTAAGGCAAAGCTCTGTGTATACTCCCGGGGCCCCACGCAATGCCTGGCACCTCCTCACCCACCCCACAGCGGGCCCACACTCAGGGAGGACGCGAGCCGGAGGGAAGGTGAGGCGCACACGCACACACACACACACACACAGCGGGCCCACACTCAGGGAGGACGTAAGCTGGGGGGAAGGTGAGGCGCGCACACACACACACACACACACACACACACAGCAGGCCCATGTTCAGGGAGGATGCGAGCCGGGGGGAAGGTGAGGCGCACGCGCACACACACACACACACACACAGCGGGCCCACGTTCAGGGAGGACGCAAGCTGGGGGGAAGGTGAGGCACCCCCCCCACACACACACACACAGCGGGCCCACGTTCAGGAAGGACGCGAGCCGGGGGGAAGGTGAGGCACGGCACCTGGAACAGAGCCTTGGCCGCCTCGTAGTCCTGGATGTCTTCGTACACGCGCGCTTCCCCTTCCTGCAGGGCCGTCCGGAAGTCGCCGAAGAGTATGGGGTCCCTCATCACTGTCTCCACGTCATCCTTAAAGTGCTCCACGACCAAACTCCCGATGTGCCCTTGCACCTGAAAGCGCAGGACCATGTGAGGACCCGGACGCAGCGTGCGGCTCAGCTGGTCGGGGGGCGCACAGGCTGCCGTCACCGGAAGCCATCAGCATGGCTTTTCCCCGATGGCCACGCGGCACTAATAACCCGTCCGCCTTCACCTCTGGACTTATTAGCACTGCTTTTCTGCGTTAGTGCCCTACACTAACACGCGTGATTTAGTATTTTACTCAGAGAAGAAGGGTGAGGCTAGAACCCTGCAGGTGCGGGCGGGCATGGACGTACTGACCAGCAGCTTGTCGGTCTCGTTGGTCAGCCGGTCGTGGAAGACTCTCAGACACTCGTTCCTCCAGACTCTCACCATCTGGGCCACGGTCTGGAACCTGCATCACAGAAGGGGAGAATCGGCCAGGGGCCCATCTAGAAGCACCTGTTCCCGGCAGACAGACGGGGCAGTGAAGGGGCAGCCCTCTTGCAGCCCTTTCCCTGCCCACTCAGCCGCAGTCTCGTTAATGAGACCGAACCGAGAGCTCAGCAGAGGCTGGCAGGTGAGATGTCAAGGCGGGAAGTCGTCCACCCGCCTACCCTACAGCAGCGTACACAAGTGCCGCGTGTAAATGGCGTGAGACAAGTGCCGGCCCCCCTGCTTTCTGGAATATATGAATTTAACATCGGCATCAGGGCCACTGGCCTTTCCTTTTTCTTATAGCTAGCGCCATCAGGCCCCTGTTCTAGAACTTTCCAGAGCTGGCCTCTCCTGGACTGCATTTTAAACCCTTTGAGGGCACCGAGTGTACAGGTGAGGACGTCAGAAGTCCTCAACTCCGTTTTCAATATTTTGTTAATTCATAAGAAGAAGAATCCATATAACTAGATTATGCTTGCAAATTTACATGAAGTATCCACTCCTGTCTAATTTTTCATTTGTTTGTTTTAGTTGTCAGAGGGCACGTGCCCTGGCCAGAGAGACAGAGAGAGAGAGAAGAGGGAGACAGCACCCTCCCAATGGGGGCAGCCACGCCGCAATCCCTTCTCCATTGCTCTGTCCAGTCAGGAGTTGGGGCATGCACACACGCCCAGCACGTGTTCAATCCACAACCAGGGTCAGCCATGTGCGGCGCGGTTTCCCTTAACCACCAGGATACGGGGCTGGTCCCATAAGGCTAATTTTCACGAGAAAATTTCTGTAACCGAACTTAAATCGTTTACACCCTCAGTGCTCACTCCTGCAGACACACATTGTAGACCCAGCTGGCCACCGGCTTAGGCGCATGAGGGAAGGCCCCACAGAGGTGGTTTCTAAGCTCAGAGCTGAGCACAGAGGTCACCAGCTCCCCCGCCAAGGGGACAGATAACCTGCTCACACTGCGCTCTCTGGGTCCGCCTGTCTCCAACTCCAGGGCTCACGAAGCACCAGGCCTTCGGCCAAACGGGTAGCTCTTCATTCAACACAAGGGAAGTCTCTGGGTAGTTCATTAACATACTGAGTCATCAAATTCATTGACAAGTCCTCTGGCTTAAAGTACTAAAAGAAGGGGCCAGCAGATGGTGTAGTGGTTATATCGCCAGACTCCCACAGGGCCGACTATGGTTCGAGTCCCGGCTCCAGTAGCTTCAAACTCATGCTGACCGTGTGTGCGTGTGTGCGTGTGTGCGTGTGAGCGTATGCACCCAAGATCCCAGGAGGAGAATGGAGGAGAAGGGATTGCAACGCGGCCATGTCTTTGTCTCTGTCTGTCCGTCTGTCTCTCTCTCTCCCTCTCTCTGTGGCGAGCACACATGCCCTGTGGCAAAAACCTCTAAAACAAAACTGTAATATTAAAAGAAGCCATTGTGCCTGTGGGGCATATTTCAGTAAGACAGAACAAACTCACCGATCCCGGTTAGTGAGGAGGAGGCCGTTATAAACCCGAGAGAGATCGCGAAGGTTAAAGATGTAATGGAACTTGGAGGGGGTCGGGGGCAGGTCCTGAACGATGATTTTGTAAAGCGCCAGAGTGCAGGACGTCAGCTTGTCACTCACGGCCATGATGCTCTCGTGGAATGTCTGGAAGAGAAAGCCCCGACCCACAATGGTGAGTGGGGAAGTGCACTATGGCCTCTCCATACAAAGGGATGGTCTTTTGGCCATAAAAGGAATAAAGTGCGGGTACCTGCTACAGCCTGGACGGACCCTGAAAGCAGATGGACACAAAAGGTCCCGGGGCACACGATGGGTCGTGTATTTCATTGGCATGAAACACCCAGGACAGGCAAGTGTACCGAGAAGGAGGTAGATTACTGGTGGCTGGGGTGGGGGAGGTTCTGCTAAATCGGTGTGGTTTGCCTTCTGCGCGGACAGTGACATTCTAGGGTTATGAATGTACTAAATCCCACTGGATTGTACACTTTAGAATGGCTAAAATAACTAAATTCACATTATGTGAGTTTAACCACAGTTTTGTTAAAAAGGAGATCTTAAAAATTAAAATCCCAGAGTTGGTCATCATCTGGAATCTGCTTTTATTGTCCTAGATGTGACGTACTAGCTGACAAGTCAAACCGAAGCCCAGGTCCGGGCTCAGTTCCAGCTGACTGGCACAGACCTCGCAGTGTGCCAAGGGAATGCCTGCAGACAGGGCATGAACAGACCAGGTGTCCACGGTGGCCACTGCTCACGCCTGGCCTCTCCACACTGGACCTTAACCAGCTGACTCCTGAGATCTTCAGGAGAGAAATGCCAGGGTCAGAAGATGATGGCTTAAATGAAGGCGCCCCATTTGGAGAGCCCAGGTAAATCCTGAGAGCAGCACTAACTGCTGTCGGAGGAGTGTCCGCTGTGTGCTAGGCAGTGTGCCACACGCCTGTGCGCTTTCCTCCTTTCGTCCTCCCTAACCCGGAGAGATGGGTACCATCATTTTCTCCCTATTCCAGACGAGAATGGGGACCAGGAGAGCTCAAAGGCCTTGCCCAAGGAGCAGAATGGCGACTGACTCCAGAATCCTTTCCCCCAGTTGAGTCGCCGCTAGAATTCAACGCGGCCACGCGCACTTTCATCTTCATGAACTCCTTCTCCCGTAACCATAAATTAAAATAATATTTTATGACTGCATTGGTGTAAAGATGAAAGTCTTCCCTCTGATCTTGGAAGAAATTAAGATAGTTTCCTGGGCCGCTAAGAGTACTGCAGGCCCGAAGCGTCATGTGTGCTGTGTCTAATGGATGAAGTCGCCCCGCTGCGTTTCTACCCACACACGGTCCCCTAGTTCAGACTTTCATTAAAACCGAGTTACCGAGGTATGGCCTTTCAGGATGGAGTAATAAATTAAATGCAAAGATTCCTCTGAAGGAAAGGGTACATTGAAGACGTTGAATAACGAAATAAATCTCGGGTCAACTTCATTGCGGCCTCCACCGGCCTTCCCCATCGCAGCGATGAAGCCCAGGTCTCGGATGCTTTTACAGTTCAGCTCCTTCCCGCGGTCGTATAAGTAGCCTTTCTCCAACAGCAGCTTCAGCAAGGCGATTGGCTGCTGCGTGCCGTATTCATCTACCTTGATTTTTTTTTAATAAAAGAGAAAATAGTAGCATCATAAAGCAGAATTCAGAGAGGTCTTTGCTGATCATCTAAGCTAAAGCTTGACTTTTCTGTTACTCTCTCAGAGCAAGCTGGTTTTAGATTCGTAAGGGTTCTCAATGTATGCTATTAGAGTAAAAGTATAGAAATTAAAGTATAGAATAATAATTCAGCGATAACTATTTTTTAAAAGTCTGTCTCTCACCTGACTCTGAACTTCATGAGAGAGGAGATTACAGAGGTTTTGCACACCACACACTAGTCCCACAGGAAGTGCTGAAGAAGTCTATGTTAATTTGATGGAAGGATGGATGGATGCATGAGTAGATGGGTGGGTAGATGGAGGGATGGACAGATAGATGAACAGCAGATAGGCGAATGGAAGGATAGATGGATGGGTGAAGAGACCAGTAGATGAATGACAAAGGGATGGTGGAGGGTTGGACAGATGAACAGTGGATGGATGACAGGGATAGATGGATGGATAAATGGATGGGTGGGGGGGTGGAGTAACGGATGGATGAATGGATGGATGGAGAGACGGACAGATGAACAGTGGATGGATGGCAGAGGGAGGGATAGATGGATGGATAAATGGATGGGTGGGGGGGTGGAGTAACGGATGGATGAATGGATGGATGGAGAGACGGACAGATGAACAGTGGATGGATGGCAGAGGGAGGGATAGATGGATGGATAAATGGATGGGTGGGGGGGTGGAGTAACGGATGGATGAATGGATGGATGGAGAGACGGACAGATGAACAGTGGATGGATGGCAGAGGGAGGGATAGATGGATGGATAAATGGATGGGTGGGGGGGTGGAGTAACGGATGGATGAATGGATGGATGGAGAGACGGACAGATGAACAGTGGATGGATGGCAGAGGGAGGGATAGATGGATGGATAAATGGATGGGTGGGGGGGTGGAGTAACGGATGGATGAATGGATGGATGGAGAGACGGACAGATGAACAGTGGATGGATGGCAGAGGGAGGGATAGATGGATGGATAAATGGATGGGTGGGGGGGTGGAGTAACGGATGGATGAATGGATGGATGGAGAGACGGACAGATGAACAGTGGATGGATGGCAGAGGGAGGGATAGATGGATGGATAAATGGATGGGTGGGGGGGTGGAGTAACGGATGGATGAATGGATGGATGGAGAGACGGACAGATGAACAGTGGATGGATGGCAGAGGGAGGGATAGATGGATGGATAAATGGATGGGTGGGGGGGTGGAGTAACGGATGGATGAATGGATGGATGGAGAGACGGACAGATGAACAGTGGATGGATGGCAGAGGGAGGGATAGATGGATGGATAAATGGATGGGTGGGGGGGTGGAGTAACGGATGGATGAATGGATGGATGGAGAGACGGACAGATGAACAGTGGATGGATGGCAGAGGGAGGGATAGATGGATGGATAAATGGATGGGTGGGGGGGTGGAGTAACGGATGGATGAATGGATGGATGGAGAGACGGACAGATGAACAGTGGATGGATGGCAGAGGGAGGGATAGATGGATGGATAAATGGATGGGTGGGGGGGTGGAGTAACGGATGGATGAATGGATGGATGGAGAGACGGACAGATGAACAGTGGATGGATGGCAGAGGGAGGGATAGATGGATGGATAAATGGATGGGTGGGGGGGTGGAGTAACGGATGGATGAATGGATGGATGGAGAGACGGACAGATGAACAGTGGATGGATGGCAGAGGGAGGGATAGATGGATGGATAAATGGATGGGTGGGGGGGTGGAGTAACGGATGGATGAATGGATGGATGGAGAGACGGACAGATGAACAGTGGATGGATGGCAGAGGGAGGGATAGATGGATGGATAAATGGATGGGTGGGGGGGTGGAGTAACGGATGGATGAATGGATGGATGGAGAGACGGACAGATGAACAGTGGATGGATGGCAGAGGGAGGGATAGATGGATGGATAAATGGATGGGTGGGGGGGTGGAGTAACGGATGGATGAATGGATGGATGGAGAGACGGACAGATGAACAGTGGATGGATGGCAGAGGGAGGGATAGATGGATGGATAAATGGATGGGTGGGGGGGTGGAGTAACGGATGGATGAATGGATGGATGGAGAGACGGACAGATGAACAGTGGATGGATGGCAGAGGGAGGGATAGATGGATGGATAAATGGATGGGTGGGGGGGTGGAGTAACGGATGGATGAATGGATGGATGGAGAGACGGACAGATGAACAGTGGATGGATGGCAGAGGGAGGGATAGATGGATGGATAAATGGATGGGTGGGGGGGTGGAGTAACGGATGGATGAATGGATGGATGGAGAGACGGACAGATGAACAGTGGATGGATGGCAGAGGGAGGGATAGATGGATGGATAAATGGATGGGTGGGGGGGTGGAGTAACGGATGGATGAATGGATGGATGGAGAGACGGACAGATGAACAGTGGATGGATGGCAGAGGGAGGGATAGATGGATGGATAAATGGATGGGTGGGGGGGTGGAGTAACGGATGGATGAATGGATGGATGGAGAGACGGACAGATGAACAGTGGATGGATGGCAGAGGGAGGGATAGATGGATGGATAAATGGATGGGTGGGGGGGTGGAGTAACGGATGGATGAATGGATGGATGGAGAGACGGACAGATGAACAGTGGATGGATGGCAGAGGGAGGGATAGATGGATGGATAAATGGATGGGTGGGGGGGTGGAGTAACGGATGGATGAATGGATGGATGGAGAGACGGACAGATGAACAGTGGATGGATGGCAGAGGGAGGGATAGATGGATGGATAAATGGATGGGTGGGGGGGTGGAGTAACGGATGGATGAATGGATGGATGGAGAGACGGACAGATGAACAGTGGATGGATGGCAGAGGGAGGGATAGATGGATGGATAAATGGATGGGTGGGGGGGTGGAGTAACGGATGGATGAATGGATGGATGGAGAGACGGACAGATGAACAGTGGATGGATGGCAGAGGGAGGGATAGATGGATGGATAAATGGATGGGTGGGGGGGTGGAGTAACGGATGGATGAATGGATGGATGGAGAGACGGACAGATGAACAGTGGATGGATGGCAGAGGGAGGGATAGATGGATGGATAAATGGATGGGTGGGGGGGTGGAGTAACGGATGGATGAATGGATGGATGGAGAGACGGACAGATGAACAGTGGATGGATGGCAGAGGGAGGGATAGATGGATGGATAAATGGATGGGTGGGGGGGTGGAGTAACGGATGGATGAATGGATGGATGGAGAGACGGACAGATGAACAGTGGATGGATGGCAGAGGGAGGGATAGATGGATGGATAAATGGATGGGTGGGGGGGTGGAGTAACGGATGGATGAATGGATGGATGGAGAGACGGACAGATGAACAGTGGATGGATGGCAGAGGGAGGGATAGATGGATGGATAAATGGATGGGTGGGGGGGTGGAGTAACGGATGGATGAATGGATGGATGGAGAGACGGACAGATGAACAGTGGATGGATGGCAGAGGGAGGGATAGATGGATGGATAAATGGATGGGTGGGGGGGTGGAGTAACGGATGGATGAATGGATGGATGGAGAGACGGACAGATGAACAGTGGATGGATGGCAGAGGGAGGGATAGATGGATGGATAAATGGATGGGTGGGGGGGTGGAGTAACGGATGGATGAATGGATGGATGGAGAGACGGACAGATGAACAGTGGATGGATGGCAGAGGGATAGAGGGATGGATAAATGGATGGGTGGGGGTGGACAGGTAATGGATGGATGAATGGATGGATGGAGAGACGGACAGATGAACAGTGGATGGATGACAGAAGGATAGAGGGATGGATGGATGGATGGGTGAGTGGATGGATCCTGGCATTGCACCTCACACTTTTGGAAGACAGACATTCAGGAGGAAAAAAGTGGTTCTGCAAAATGATATAAATATATACTCCAGAAGGCTAAGAAAACCATACTTCTCAGAAACACACTCACCATGCAAGTTCCCCTTCCTTGGTAAATCCAGAGGAAACCCTGGTCTGCTCTAATGCTTCCCGCACAGGCAGATGGGGCCAGATGCAGTATTATTATCTAGAGAGAGAGCTCATCTGGAAGCCACTGACTCAAACACATGCTGAATGTACTTTGGAGGACGCCCGCTGTCTGCTCCCCTCCTCTGAGAAACTAGGGAACACAATCGGTAAGGGGAAAGGCCCCTGACAAAGACGAGCATCCCAGGAGCATTCCACCCTAAGCTGGCTCTCGCAGCCTGCACCCTGCAGGTACCGCGTGGAGACAGGGGTTCTCACTCTCACCTCCAGCACCAGTACCAGCACCAACACACCGCCTTGCCCCGCCCCTCCCACCTGCTTAAAACTCAGGCTACCTTTGGCATGTTCATGTCGTCCATGAACACCAGAAGGCGTTTTCCCATGGGAGGGCCATAAGTGTCTTTAGTTCGCTTTTCCACATTTGCTTCTAAATTTCTTTGGATATCCATGGATGTGGTGCGGGAGGAGAAGTTGACCATTAGCACCATCTGAAAGAGAGCGAGGTCATTTGCAAAGCTGGCCTTCCCTTCACAGTATCGGCAGTAAGTGTCCGACCCCAGCGACCATCTACTTTGCAAACTCACTGGTTTCTGAACTGGTTTTTATAACCCAGTGTGAGTCTGTGCTTCATTTTTTTAGGTGGTAGAGTAACAACTCTTTCTTTTTGGCAGGTGTGCATAAGACAATAGCAAGGTGCCATATGTGGGCCTTGGGAACGTGGTGGCATTGCACAACAGAAGGTGACCCAGGATGGGGTGTCTGGCACAATTCTAGTTTGCTGACCTCCAAAAAGTCATCCCACCTTTCAGAACCTCCTCTGTCTCACCCAAAAGATGGTTTGGGGGCTACTACATAGAGTGTTTATAGCAGGTAAGACACAATAGACATCAGTGTCGTTTATTTTTGGTATTTTTTTAGAGAGGTTTTTGCTATAGGGCATGTGTGCTCACCAGAGAGACAGAGAGACAGAAAGTGAGAAATCACTTCCTAGGGGGGTGGCTACACCACAATCCCTTTTCCTACATTTTCTTCTTGGGATTTCGGGCATGCACACACACATGCCCGGTGTGAGTTTTAAGCCGCTGGCTCTGGGACTTGAACCGTGGTAAACTATGTGGGAGTGACAACCACTATGCCACCTGCTGATCCCAACATCAGTAGATTTGCTATGACACCATTCCAACATGGCTATCCTACCGGCTGCATCCTCATCAGATGGGCCCGTCTTTGGAAATACCTGCTGGAGTAGAAGGTGAGAGACGCCCTCCCGGACCCTCACACACGATTTCAGGGCCTCTCACTGAAAGCGCCTGAGCTAGAACCACCCCGCTAAGCCATCCCACAGAAACGGGGGTGTGGTAAGTGTCTGCTGTAATGCACTCCCATGCCCTGGGGCACTTTGTTACACAGCAACAGGTAGCTGATACACATAAGGACTTACATTAGTCTCTTCATTCAGATTTCTGAGGAAGTTCTGGGTCGTGGCTGTCTTCGAAGTGCCAGATTCACCAACCAAAAGAACAGGCTGCTTAATTTTAACCATTTGTTCCAACATCCAGGTGGTGCGAGTCGTATCCACCGTATGAACTAAAAGGTACATTACGAAAGAGAGCGTCACAAGAGCTCCAAATAGGGTGAGTGTTTGGTAACTTGGGGCTCTCCCAGAATCCTACAAATCCCATGACAGTATTAGCAAAGCCAAGACATAACCTTGAAAACATGTCTGTGGGTAGTACTCTGCTTAGGAAAATCCCATTACCCCAGCCATTATTTTTCATAACTTTACTGAGGTATAACTTAATATGAAATTTGCCCATTTCAAATGCATAATTTGAGAGACCATATTTTACAACACCCAAATTGTTTTTAATACCCCAAACTGGTTTATATTTGGGATATTAAAAAGTCAACTTCTCTGGGAACCAGCAGTTAGCGTAATGGCTATGTCGTTGGACTCCCACGTAGTCGACCGCGGTTCGCGTCCCAGACCCGGTGGCTTAAAACCCACGCCGGGTGTGTGTGCGTGCATGCCTAAGATCCTGAGAGGAGAATGGAAGAGAAGGGATTGCGGCGTGACCATCCCCCCTGGGGGGTGATTTCTCGCTTTCTATCTCTCTGTCTCTCTCTGTCTGTCTGGCGAGCACACGCACCCTATAGCGAACACCTCTTCAAAAAAAAAAAATGTCAACTTCTCGGTCAGCAGGAGGCATAGTGGTTGTGGCACAGGACTCTCACATGGCCAACCACAGTTCGAGTCCCAGACCCAGTGGTTTGAAACTCACGCCAGACACGTGTGCATGTGGAGGAAAATGGATTGCGGTGTGGCCATTCCCATCAGGGAGTGATTCCTCACTCTCTCTGTCTGTCTCTGTGTCTCCAGCAAGCACACGGGCCAATAGCAAAAATCTCTCTTAAATAAGTAAGTACAACTTGACTTCTCTGTCACTTGCTTCGCTCCCACACCTGTAGGGTCTGGCTTCCCAGCCAACCCCTCCTCGGGAGAGACAGCACCTCCATGTGAGGTCCGGCTCACGCACGCCTACGCTGGCTGTGCTCAGTCCTGAAGGATTCCTGAGAAAATGGGCACGCTGCACTCTTTCAGCACATGGGCCCAAAGCAGATGCATGTTCCGTGAACTGATACAGCCCATATTTTACCCGAACAGCCTGAAGACGCACTTGGAAGCAGACCCATAGGACAAGCGCCCACAGGGCTCTTCAACACAGCCCCGTCCACAAGGCACTGCCGTGCTCTCTCCTGCCTCAGCCCTTCCGGCTTCCTCTGTGCTCAGCCAGCTCTGGGGGCCAAGGCAAGCCGAGGGAACAAGGGAACGCAAACAGCACCTCGCCCGCCTGTGGGATCCCTCGGCTCGCTGGGGACAGAGCTGAGAGTCACAGCAAACAAGAAGCATCAACAGTTCCAGCTCTGAGTAGGGCCCAGGGCTTGCCGTCCTCTGTTCCTACTCCCAGCTCTCTGGGGGGACCCAGTGTACCAGACAAGCCACAGGGTCTCTAATGTCCTCATGGAGCAAGGATCACAGCCCCCCACCCTCGAACCAGGGAACAGGGGTCTGACCCCTACTTACCCAGGATGTCGATGAATCTCCTCTCCTGGGAGTGAATGTACTCTGGCACTAACTCACTCCATGGGATCCACTGATACCGTGTGGTGTCAAAGTGGAAGTCGTACAAGGTGGGGAGCTGACCTGCAGTGCAGGACACGCTAGGGTGAAAGACAGGCCGGGGAGCGGGGCCAGTGTGGGGTCTGAGTGAGGGGCTGCAGCTAGCAGTGGGCAGTGTGCATGACTGGGGAGCACGCCCCACAGAGCCTGGGTTCTGGAAAGTACAACCTGCGGCACCCAGTGGAGTGTGGGCTTGCCCACCGTTTGTTTGCTCAGTGGCTCTCTAGAAAGACCCGCGGTCTCTGTATTTTAAACCTCGGAAAGAGGCCCAGCCACGGTGGTACAGATGGTAGAGCTCCCTGTGTGATACCGGAGCTAAGTGGGAAGGCCCCAGGTTCGGATCCCAGGTCTGCCTGAATGCACTAGGCACTCCCATGGGTGCCTACGATCCTGGTTGTGGGGAGGCCGGGGGGATCTGGTGTGATGACACCCTGAAGGAGTGCTTCTCTCTCTCTGTCCACCCAGTTAGTGAAGGAGATAAATAACTTTTTAAAACAAAAGAGAACCTAGGTAATGATTATAAAATACAGCTTAGAAAGTTGTCGGGTCGCGCCACAGAGAAAGACAGTAAGGGAGGAAACAAGGACCCTCGGGTTACTCCTTCCTGAAGAACATGCGTTTCCCACTCTTCACAGCTCTGTGAGGATGCCCTTTTTTGTGCAAAAACTTAAAATGCCGATTTCCTACGGGGAATCTACAAGTCCATACTCGATGGTGCAAATACCCAGGAGTAGATCAGGTGTTCTACACTGAGGGACTTTGAAGAGGTAGCTGTAAAAAGCAAGCCGACGAGGAAGCACAAGGAGACCGGGAGCCGTGCAGAACCAACAGTCCAGGGAGCTCACACAGCGAGGGAGAGACATGAGATCACGTGAGAGAACACTTAGGCTCATGAAGAAAGGTCCTCACTGGAACTGGGCTTCCCATGGGTCCCGGCTGTTCTAGAGATACGACTGAGCTGGGACACCCATCAAGGCAGAAGTACAGAAGAGCACGCCTGCCTCCTCGAGACCTACTCCGGCGCGGGGAAACAGGCACCCAGTTCCTACCTGGCAATTCCCCAGGGCCGGCCCAAACCTCCTCTGTATCAACTGTAGACAAGGAGGCGATGCGCTTGACACACTCGTCGAACTGGACCCTGGCGTCGGCCAGCAGGGAGGCGCCCAGAGAGCAGTAGAGCGCCTCCAGGAAGAAGGACTCCAGCAGATCGCCGTCCTCCAGCTCTCCTTCGAGTAGAGCATCCAGCATCTTGGTTAACTGGGTGACCTGGGTCACAAGAGAAACACAAGGTCAGTCCTGCTCATAAATCCTGAGCTCCCACATCCAGCCGCCATATTGGCTCAGACGGGTGGAGCCCACTGTCTCGCCGTGCACGGGATCACGAAAGCGTGTGCAGTGTCCTACCTGACCCTAGCCTGCAATGTTACAGTTCTCTGGCCTGTCTTCTTTGCGCCCCTTAAAGGCCCCCGTGAGCACGTCTTGGGGAAGACCTGGTTTTTGCTAACAGCACCGCTCACTTCTCACCATATTCAGGTCCGTCTGAGGAACGATCGTCTTCAGCTTCTCTCCCTGCCTTCCATCCACTATTCCTTCCACGATCACGTCGATGAGGTACGGCACGTATTTATCAAAGAGACTATCTAAAGTGCTTTGCTCCACCTGGAAAAGAGCAGAATTCCAAAGCATTTTCAAGAGTTTGCTTATTTAAATGGCTGTTCGGGGAAAGTTGTTCTTATCCACAGAGGAGAGAAACCTCTGATGAATGACAAATCTGGCAGGTAGGGAAACCCTGGTACTGGAGCCTTACACTTGTGGGAGAGTTATCCTCTGCAAGTTGCTTTCATTTCATTGTGACACGTTATTATTTTCTGCTGCCATAAGACCTACCCATCCCTAGGAGGTAGGATGGGAATGAGGGAGGTAACAGATCCCATTTGATGGAAAGGCAGCTGATCATCTTAGAGTTCAAGTGACATGACTGCAGTCACCCAGCAAACCGTGTGAAGTCGGGGAGACCCCTGTTCCTATCCAGGTGTCAGTGACCACCAGGGATTCCAGAGTCCCTATACTGCTCTCTCTCCCATGTGACAGAGCCTCAGATTGCCCCATCTTGTTTCCCTTGGCCTTCACCCAGGGTCGGTTCTGGCTATAAACCCAAGATCCCAAATACCAGGGCAATGAAAATATACAACCGCCATATTGGTGCAGATAGATGTGAGCCAATATGGCCTGCCTCTTGTTTTTGTACATAAAACTTTATTAGTACACAGCTAGGCCATTCATATACAGAGAGTCTCTGGCTGACTTCATGCAGAGCTGAGTAGTTGCAAAAGAAACCACATGGCCCACAAAGGTTGAATGTTTACTCTCTACTCCTTCACAGGAAAAGTTTGCTAATCCCTAGTCTAGACATCCAGTCATTATCTATCCCACCAGCTACGAATTATATAAAATCTAGTAAGTGTGTCTGCCATGTTTTCATCTGATTTGTGCTCAAGACACAGGCAGGTCAAGGACAAGGTCGTGGCCTTCAACTACAAACAGCCCATGGGGATACGTTATCCGGTGCTAGGTCTACATTCATCGTAGAGATAACTGTCACCTTGTTTTGTATTTTATTAACCCATTTTTTCCAGTACGGTTGATATTTCAAGTTTTTAGGATCCACATAAACCATTCCACATCGAGACACGGTTGCAGGGGAGGCGTACTGTAAATCTCCAACCTGGAAAAGTAAATAAAGTCAGTCATGTCTACAGCTATAAACAACTACGCTAGATGTTTAAGGGCCTTTTATTGTGCAGAGTTTTCATAACTGCATAAAACCCAAGGGACATCCAAATCCATACCGCTCCCATAAGGCATTTCATGGCACACCTAGGTTTATGATGGGAAGATCACACATCTCTGACGTAAGAAGACCTTTTTAAGTTTTACCTTACTATAAAATTAATATGAAAATTAAAATGTTATAAAATGTCTGATAAAAACAGAAAAGTATGAAGAAGAAAATTAAGTCACCTAAATCATACCCAGAAGCAAACATTGTTCTGGAGTATTTTCTTTCCAGGCTCTTCTTATTTTTGTTTTAACGTAGGTGGGATCAGATCATATGAAACTTAAGTACACAGCTAACCTAAAAATAGTAACAAACATATCTTTCATAATGAAAAATGCTTTAGTCTGTCAGTCAGACAATGATATGCACAAATCCTTGTGCACCAACAAATTTTCCAGACCAAGTTAGGAATAACATTAATATAAGGAAGAGTGAAAATAAGTCCCAGGACCATAGCTGTGAAACCAGCAGTCCATACTATAAGCAGGAGATACTTGGATTCTAGTCTCTAGGAAAAAAGAGGATTCAACAGAACACTTGATGGAAAATTTGAAAAAGAAAAACAAATGAGAATAAGCTAAAGGCAAATAGTATAAGACCAAAAAAAAAGACAATTACAAACTCCATATAAAACAAATGGCATGGCCAGCTGCAGTTTGAGTCCCAGACCTGGTAGTCTGCTTTCTCTATCTTACTACCCAACCCTCACCCTACCCCCATACCCCTCACCATAAGCACACATGCCCTACACCAAATAATAATAATAATAAACAAAATAAAATAAATAATTCTTTTAAAAAAAAGTCTCTAAAAGAAAGTAAATAAAATTGTAGCAAAGTAGTTGGCTCTGTAATAAATATTTCCAAATTTCTTTTTTTCTTTCTTTCTTTCTCTCTTTTTTTTTTTTTGAGAGGTTTTCGCTATAGGGCACATGTGCTCACCAGAAAGACAGAGAGAGACAGAGAGATAGAAAGCAAGAAACCACTCCCCCCAGGGGGGATGACCACGCTGCAATCCCTTCGCCTCCATTCTCCTCTCGGGATCTTGGGCACACACGCACGCACACGTACCCAGCGTGAGTTTAAGCCACTGGGTCTGGGACTTAAACCGCGGTTGACTACATGGGAGTTCAGCAACATAGCCATTACACTACTGCTGGTCTCAGTATTTCCAAATTTCTAATAATGTAAATACCATTTACTATTATTAACCAATTTAGGAATATAGGCACCCCTCCATATTCATGGGAACCAGTTCTAAGACAACCCTGTGGATACCAAAATCCATAAGTGCTCAAGTACCTTAAATTAAATGGCACAGTATCTGATAAACCCTATGTACATCCTCTTGTGTACTTTAAATCATCTCTAGATTACTTAAAACACCTAAGAGTATATATAATAGTATTACTTGTCATACGATATTACATAGAGAATGATGACAAGAAGAAGTCTGTGCATGTTCACAGTTTTCTGTGCATGTTTTCAATCTGTGGTTGGTTGAAATCGCAGATGTGAAACTCATGGATATCCATGGATACAGAAGGCCACTGTGTGCTAGTGGTACGAATCCTCACTTGGATAGCAGTTGGGCAACAGATAGTGCATAAACTTGACAAAGGAAGAAACAGCACGCTGGACACATTCCTTTTAGATGCTGGGCAGTTATCAGAAGAACAACTCAAAGGAAAGCAACAGGAATCACTTCTGTGATAGGGCAAAAGAGGCCAGGGGAGCATGTAAAGAACAAATAGTTGCACTCGTCACAAGATCTTCTGCGTTCTTAAAAAATCATCTATACTTATTGCGACTTTGGCATTCACTTACATTTTTCTTAAGAGAGTTCTGCCATAGGGCCTGTGCACTCACCAAAGAGACAGAGAGAGACAGAGAGACAGAAAGACAGAAAGCAAGTAATCATCCCCAGGGGGGATGATTTCTGGCTGTGTCGAAATCCCTTCTTCTCCATTCTCCTCTCGCCAGATACTTAAATTATTCATTAAAAAGAGACTTATATTCACAATTGCTGTTGATCGCCACTTGCCTCAAAGAGCAGAGCACAGTGTGCTTGTAGGCGGATGCGCTCCCCGTTGGCCAAAGTCAACAGCTTGTTGTCGTCCATCACGGAGTTCATGTTTTCTACCCACAGAGCATCCACGTCACCATCAAACAAAATATACCTGCAACAAGCAACGAATGGTGAGTTGTGGTCCTAGAAAGCTTCCATCTGTGAAAACCAGTTCAGGTTGGAAGTCTTTCTCCAAGGTCTTGAGCCAAGACCTGAGACGGAACATGCTGCATGGTACGTGAAAACTTGTCTGAGTTATCGCTGACACTTACAGATCAGGGAGCTTCACACCAAAATCTAGATTTCTCCCTTCTCAGGCAAACTGAAAGGTCTGACCACAGGGACCTGCATTCCTTCATGGGGACAATCTGAGGATACTCAGGAGTAACTACCCACAGAGACAGAAAGCACCGTGGTCCACCCACCCTCCCACCCACTCTCCTTAAATCTGAGACCGAGTGCCAATGGCCATTCTGGTTTTAGCCTCTTACTTTCTTGTGGGAGAGTTGAAAGGGAAGTATTTACATACCCATGTGTAACAAGTGGATGGTAACACTCCAGAAGAGATGCCTGACATGTTATCTGGCCAGCTTCACCCATCCATTCTGCCTGCCGGACCCCTGGGAGCACCTGACTTTCTGAGCCCTGATTTAGACACCATCAGCCCTGGCAGCAGGTCTACTTTGGCTCAGAAGGCCTCAGGCAGTCAAGCTACATAATGCTTTGATTTTGTGACCAGAAAGGGTAATAACAGCAAAGTCTGTCTCCAAAGAATGGAATCTATTCTACTGTGTTGGAACGGTGGTTGAACAGTTCTTACACTCAGTGCACTGATACAAGTAGTCAGATTTTTTTTTTCAGCATTAACATGTTGGTTTATTTTCTTCCACTATTTGTTTCTTTTTTAATTTTAATTTTTAAATAACTTCTCATACAGTTCCAAGAATAGAACAAAGAACTCCCTTATGCCCTTCAACCAGATTCTGTAATTGTCCAATATTTTTGCCACATTTGTGTTCTCTCTTGCGCTCTCTCTCTCTCTCTCTCTCTGAAATATTTGAGAGTCAAATGGAGATATAATGCCCTTTTGTAAAATAATTATTTATCTAGTTTTGTTTATTATTATTCAATTTGACAAGAGAGAGATGTAGAGAAAGAGAAAGGAGAGAGAGGGAGAGTGAGAAAGCAAGTCGCCAGGTGTGGGACTTGAACCAGAGTTGGCCGGCCACATGGGAATCCAGCACCTTAACCACTACATCACCTGTCAGCCCCAATGCCCTTTTTGTCTTAAACACTTAAGACTGTATTTCCTAAACACAGAGCGGCTATCAAGAACACTGAATTTCACATTGCTATGACGCTATTATCTACTATTGAGATATATAAACACAGAGCGGTTATCAAGAACACTGAATTCAACATTGCTATGGTGCTATTATCTACTATTGAGATATATAAACACAGAGCGGTTATCGAGAACACTGAATTTCACATTGCTATGACGCTATTATCTACTATTGAGATATATAAACACAGAGCAGTTACCAAGAACACTGAATTCAACATTGCTATGGTGCTATTATCTACTATTGAGATATATAAACACAGAGCGGTTATCGAGAACACTGAATTCAACATTGCTATGATGCTATTATCTACTATGGAGATAGTCCATATCTGAGTTTCATCAACTTCCCCAATAGGAAGCTCCATTTTATATTTATCCTAGGAAAACTAGACTCGTATCATCGATAGATGCTCAAGCCATGGGGTGAAGATTGATGAGAAACAGGGCACTTTCCTAGAGACTGCATCTCGACTGCACAGGGGAAAACACCGCCTTACTCCAGTGATCAGTCACTACCACTCATAAACGCAAGCCAGCAGCGTGTGCCCCAGTGGGACGCTAGAACACAGCCCTCCTGCAGCGTTCCCGCCAAAGACGCCACATCACAAGGCACCCGACAAAACCGAAGTAAGACTACTGTACATAACACCTGGTCTAGAACCTTCCAGAACATCGAGGTCATAAAAGCTAATAAAACCCTGAGGAGCTGCTCAAAAATGAAAGGATGCCAGAGAATCAAGACAATTGGACATAATGAAATCCTGGATTGATCCAGAATGAAAGAAAAAGTGCTAAAAACGGATTGTTTTCCGAGCCATCAGTTGGGACTTGAGATGTTATTTAACTTTTTTAAAAGAAGGAGCGAAAGTGAGTGTCCTTATATAAAAGAAAGCACATGGTTAGTTAATATTAAGCACTAAGTATTCACTTATCTATTTTAAGCTGTGAATGGGATCTGACTGAGAGATAAAATAGGACCCTCCCTGAGTTCACCAGAGAGACATGATAGGAATGACTGCAAGTTTTTCACCTGACGTACGCTCAGAGCATTTCCACACACAGCCTCACGTGACCCTCAGCACAGCATGTGGGCAGGCCAGCAAGTACCGTCAACCAGGTGTACGGGTGAGAAAGCTGCAGTTCAGATGGATGTTCCAGCTTTTTCTGTGGTGCTTTGCCGTCTCTCCTTGACTTATTCTGCCACAAAGCATGACAGCCAGGCAGGCTGGCATGGTGACATGGTGGCTACAGTGGAGGCTTACCTTCTCTAGTCCTTACTCTCCTCCACGTAAGCTAAGGGCGATCCCAATACCTACCACGTCATGAAGCTGACGTCAAGAACACTAAGACAGCGCCTCGCACTTCATAAACTTGACCTCCAGAATATACTCCAAAGCTGCTGGGGTCCAGGCATGCCACTACAACATGTGCATAGTCTTGGCACCATTTATAATGCTCAGTACTTAATATTAACTAACTCAGATGCTCCCCGTATATAAAGACACTCACTTCCGCTCCTTCTTATCCGTCGGCTTGTTGATTTCCCTGAAGATGTTTGACAATACTCCATCTGTCCAGTCTCGGGTGACAGGGTCCAGGATGCCATACAGTTCTATGACACTCACAGCCTTGGGGTTCAGGATATATAACTTTGTCACCAGCCCAAGCCTAAACCAAAGAAGAAACTTCATTTAGTTGGTTCAGGTCAACTAAATGCCTTAGGAAAATAATCTGGATCATGTATGTGAAGAAGTAGATGCTTTAGATCCAATCCAAAAATGTAAAAGGAAATTCATACAAACTCTCCCCAAAGTGTCTCATCCACTGTTGATGCTTTACACTAAACGTAAATAAACCAAGTTTTACTGAAGCCATGGCCCTGGCACAAGTAAGATCTGAACTGGACACACAGCTGTGCCTTTGGAGGGTACTGAGGAGCTAACTTTCCAAGATGGTATATATTTGAATATATGAATATAGTACATGTGACAGCTATGTAAATACTTTATAATTAATGATGGAGAGGACACCGTTCTTAGTCATCCAAGTAGAACGTAACAAGCTTTTGAACTAATAGTTCAGTCCCTCTTACAGCAGGACATCTGCTCACCTTCCAGATCAAGTAGACAGAGCCTTTCCTGTAATACCTGCTGATGCCTGCAACTCTACATGGTTAACAACGCATCTAAAGAAAACCAAGCTTCACGCAAACCACAGTTCATAATTATCAAATATTTAAAATGTCATACATACTATTAGGGTCTCGGGGAAGTAATGACGTATTTTTCTATGGAAAAAAGTGTCACAGCTTTCCCAGTGACCCAACGTGTTACATACGGGTATATGTATATGGCAGTTGTACAATATGGCTAACAATGAACTAAAGAACGAGACACAGGATGACTATGGCATAGGTCACTTAGGGTCAGTAAGCCACTGTCCACTGATTTTCTCATATGAAACACATGAAGAAATAAGATATGATAGTTGCTTATTCATTAAATCTTATAGACTAGAAATGTTGCAGTCATAAAGGTTATAAAGCTTATTTCCATTTCTGCTGGCATGTTAGAAACCACCTTTCTTTCTAGAATCCAGTCATTGCTTAGGAGAGAAGTGAGAAATCAGAAAAGCCATTCAGCATAAAGCCATCAGTTCCCTTCAGCCTATATGATACTCCATGTAGGAGTGAAAGGTCACTTTTCCCTCATACAAACTACTCCTGCACAGGTGGCGGTAACGAGCCATCTGGGGAGGTGACCCCTTCCCTGTGACCTGTCTGACACAACTGCAGTGTCACACAATGGTGGGTCCTGACCTACCTGAAGGGAAAAATCTAAACACCAAAGTTAATGATCAAAATATCCTTATGAGATAGTTGGTGAAATTCTTGTTCACAGATAAGCTTCTTGCCATGTGAGGCACAGAAGGGATGCTGTTTTGCATTCTAAAATATGTCAGCATGAAACAAGAAAAGACTCTGAGTTTAAGGAGTGTTTGGGACAAATTTACCGCCCCC